TTATTTTTTCTTTATTATTATTTTTTCTTTATTATTATTTTTTCTTTATTATTATTTTTTCTTTATTATTATTTTTTCTTTATTATTATTTTTTCTTTATTATTATTTTTTCTTTATTATTATTTTTTTATTGTTATTATTTTCTTTTTATTTTTATTTCTAATTTTTTTTTAGTAGGAAAGCCCAAAATGAATAGCGGTGCTTGGAAAAGAGTATTGCAATTGAGAAAATGGTTCGAATTACCCGGTAGTATTTTTATTATGAACAAACGGAACATACCGAAATCTCTCGAGCCTAAAATTTTTTGTAATTAAGATCACAAACGGTTTGCAATGTAGTACGCTGCTGGCATACAAAGTATTCAAAATTTGAGGCTCTTGCCAAAATTCGTTATGCTTCAATTCCGAAAAAGCGAATTATCGAGTAATAGAAAGAAATTAAAATTGGAAAACTGTAGAATTTTTGTGCCGCTCACATTATGATGTGCATATAATTTCTAAATTAATTAAATCAGTATTTCTTACACTATATTGAATATGAGTGAACAAAGAAAAAGATTAAAAAGGGATGATTTTTGTTATTAGAGCCTGCTATTGATTTTAATGTGGTAACCAAACCTAATCTACGGTTTTGGAGCAATTTAAAAAATTAAAAAAAAAAGTTTAAGTATTTTACGAGGACTCGTTGAGTATATTATAGTCTAGTCTAGATAGATTGAAGCAGCATTATCGCGACACACCTATTAAGTAGTTTCCAAAATAATCTGTAGTCTTTTGACTTTATATAGCTCGAGCTCGAAGCCCTTCACAAGCTACTAAAGTTCTGAAAGAACTACAGTGTTTTCTTCTTGCTGCAATGCACACTTTTTATGGTAAATTGATTTTTTTGCTGGATACTATAAAGTTCTCATTGGCTTGACACATTATCAGATATATACAGGTAATGAGTTCTCTCTGAAAGCTCTCTCTGAATAAGACATAATTTTCTTCAGTGTACTTACCTTCTTTTTATCTCTCATCGAGCCTTTGCCTCGAACCATAATTTTGCAACCGGTCTCTTGTTCCAATTGCTTAGCTGTCATGCCACGAGGCCCCAAAATTCTGCCAACAAAGTTGAACTGCAAAGAAGAGAGAGATTGTAAATATTATAGATTTCAACATTTTTTTTTTCAAAATCTTATATACATAAATTTTTGCTTATAAAATTATAATTTTTGTGGTCAAAAAATATTTTGTAAATATTTGCACAACACAAGATGGAAATTTTTGAAAATTATATTATATATTGTACAAAGAGACAGTAATAAATAGCAAGCTTCTTCGTTATTATATATAAACATATATCAAAATATACTTTTATTTATAATTATGAGCGTACATACATGCATATGTGCACACGTTTATGGAATAACCAACAAAATTCCCTTGGTCATGAATTTGTAAAAACCAAAAATATGCAGAAAAAAATTGTCATGACATTCAAATGACGCAAAGCTGCAATAATCATTCTTAACCAGCAGCTGCAAATATGTTTAACGAAATTTAGGCAAGGCTGAAGCCTATAAGATATTTTATTTTTGTCAACCAATAAATCATTTTTTTTTTTTTTTTTTTTTTTGTTTGCCATTCAGTAGCTTTGCATTAAGTGTCGTTGTCAGATGACCACTAAAATTTTAAAAGAAAAATCAATTCATACGAACACTTTTGATCTAAAATGCCCGGAGATGAAAGGCACAATCATGCATTCGTTTTGTAATTGATCGGGCAAAAAATAGGTGACTCATACGCACTGGTAACCCAACGTGCAGCTCGAAGGCTTACCAGTCATCATACTCGCCCACACGGAATGTTACAAGCGCATCACATCACAGCGCAAATTGAGGGAAATTACCAATACCTTAAGGCCTAACACGCCCAGTATGGACACGATAAACCAATCAGTTGCAAATGCAGATGCAAAAATCAAAGCAACAGCGGGATGAACATTAACGTGTGCGCTAAAACATTTAACTGGTATGTATGTATGTGCAACGCAGATATGTTTGCTAGGGTGTGCAAATTGTTTCTTGTTTCTCATGGAAATCTATCAACCGCTCAATTTCAAACTGAACCTAAAAAAAATTGAAACTAAAATTAAAATATAAATTAAAATAAAAAAAAAATAAATTTAAAATTAAAATTAAAGCTAAAATTAAAGCTAAAATTGAAACTAAAATCAAAATTAAAATTAAAACAAAAACGAAAAAAAATCAAATTCCAATTAGAATTAAATTAATTTTAAAATTGAAAACAAAATTAAAAAAACTAAAATTTATATTGAAATCAAATTAAAACTAATTTAGAAACTAAATTTTAATTAAAATTTAAATAATATTAAAAATTAAAATATAAAAATAAAAATAAATATTAAAATTAACATTAAAATTAAAATTAAAATTAAAATTAAAATTAAACTTAAAATTAAAATTAAAATTAAAATTAAAATTAAAATTAAAATTAAAATTAAAATTAAAATTAAAATTAAAATTAAAATTAAAATTAAAATTAAAAATAAAATACAAATTTTAAATAAAATACAAATTTAAAATAGAATTATATTAAATTAAAATTAAAAAAATTTTAATTTTAAAGTTGAAGTTAAAGTCAAAATTACAATTAAAAAATAAAATTAAGTTTAAAATTGAGTTTAAAATTAAAATTAAGTTAAAATTTAAATTATAATTTAAAAACAATTAAAACTAAAATAATAATTAGGAAATTAATATTAAATTTAAAAAAAAAATGAAAATTAAAACGAAAAATAAAATTTATTTTTATTTATTTAATTTATAAAATTAAAATATTATTGGAAATCTCATTGTTATTAAATTTCAAATTATTTATTTAATTCATAAAATTAAAATATTATTGGAAATCTCATTCTTATTAAATTTCAATTTAAGACAAAATTAACATTAAAATAAAAATTAGATTATTATTAGAAATTAAAATTAAAATTACCGGCAAAATTAAATTTGGAATAAAAATAAACTTTAAAATTTATGTGATATTAGGTATAAAACTAAAATTAATATTAAAATCAATAAAAAAATTTAATTAACATAAAAAAATTAAACAACAACCAAAAATGAAATTTAAAATTAAAGTAAAAATTAAAATTAAAATTATACAAAAATTAAAATTACAAATAAAATTTAAATTTAAATTAAATTAAAATGATTTAAAATAAAAATATATAGAAAACTAAATTTGATATTAAAATAAAAAACTAAGATTCAACTTTTAAATAAAACTAAAATGAAAAATAAGATTTAAATAAAATTAAAATTATTTAAAATTAAATTTCATATATAATAAGTTTGATATTAAAATAAAAAATTAATGCTAAAGTCCAAACTAAAGTCAAGATTGAAATATAAATTATTTATTGAAATTAAAAGTAAAAGCCAGTATTAAAAGCTTATTTTTTTTAATAGTACCTGCCACAAAATATGACTCTTTTAAGGAAACGAAAACGCACCCTAATAAAATCATCACCAGCTCAAATGCTCGCGTTTCAGCGGCAGCAAAATTTTTGCACTCCAATGCACTCGACAACTACATGTATACGTAAAGTGGAGGTCTTTCTACTTAACCTGTGCCTGCCAGCAAATGGAGAACCCGACCTCGAACGTGCCACCAAATGCCAAGACGTGTCTCCCGTTAGCCGCTTGCTTCGGTTAACCATATCTAATGACGGTGGTTCTTTCAATTTCACGTTTCTTTTACATATTTCTTAATGTACATACACACATATATATAAATATATATAAATGTTTACGTGTGTGTCAAATACGTGGCGCACATTTGCATGCATAGGCGCCGCTGCTGCTTACTGATTTGTGCGCTAAAAGCATTCCATTGTTTGGATTTTTCTTTGATGTTGTGTCTACATATGCATTTTGTTACTATGATATGTGCATATATATGTACGTGTAATCGCATAAATATATGTAAAGATGTATATAATTTAAATGCATAAATAACTGCATGTAGCATTGTAACGTACTACCGGCCTAGCCTATCAATTCATCAATCCATCAGTTGGTCAGTTTGTCAGTGTGTCTAACCTTCAACCACCTCCTTTGATTATACTAATGTCTTATGCGTCTATGTGCACACATATAAGTGTGTATATGTGTGCGATAAGTGAGAATTACAATTGTAATTTCTAAACGAATTAGATTTGTCATTAAATTATGATTTTCATTTTGATTTGTTTGCCCGTAAATCTACTACATTTGGTCGTTAGACTCGGTTTAGAGTGCCATAAACGGTCTGTCAGTCACTCACGGCCCACACCCAGTTGTTAAGCGATTTCTACAAATGCATGTCGACTTTATCGAGTATAATAAATAAAACTAATATTTTAATACTCAATGCCAATAAACGCCTTAATGGGTGAGCTTAACGCTGAAACAAAAAGTTGTTTGATTTGCATAAAAAATTGATGAGCGTATTAAAAATGGAGTCAAATTACCGCATGTCAATCGCATGATGTCAATGGGGAAAGGGAAAATGTCCTAAAATTTGAATAAAAAAAAGATAAGGTTTTCTATCGGTCTATCGGCCCAAAATTTGAATAAAAAAAAGATAAGGTTTTCTATCGGTCTATAGGTCGACTTCTAAAATTGTAGAACAAGTTAAGTAGGTATGCATAAGTAGGGGAATGAGCTCTATAACAACTGTGAATAGAGTGACATTAGAGAAATTAGTATTTTATTTCCTTAAGGACAGATTACCCAAAAATGTTTAAAAAGATCTAAACTTGTTTTCGAGTAAATTGCTAGAAAATATTTTAGAAATAGTATAAAATTAATGTCGAAATTCTGCAAGATCAAGAAGTAAACATAGAAGAGCCTTTTACAGCTGGCTGACAGTCCTATTTAGAACATATTGAGCTTATTAACATGAACAAAAGGGCATTTTACTCCTAAAATGTTTTCTAAGGTCGGTACTACAACCTAAAATATTCACTGATATTTTTACATTTTTGTTATATTATTAAAATTTATAAACCATTAAAATTGAAAAAAGGAGTAAAAAAAAATTCAAAAGTCAGTTTTTTTTTTTTTTTTTTTTGAATATTTTATTATATTGTTATATTGTAGATCCGACCATAGCAAATGTGATACAGAATACCCTTTTGATTTTAGCAACAAAAAAAAAACGTGTTTCAGCAGGAATTTTAAGAGCCGATATTTAAAAAGAAAAATTATTATTATTTTTATACGTCTACGTATCTACATAAACTTTGATCTATAACTACTATTTTTAAATAAAAAAAATCCTCTTTTTGAAGGAATCTGACCTCAAGATTTTTAAAATTTCGTATTCAGCAACTCCTTTCCTTTGATGATGGAAAATAAAATTTGTTGCTTTCAAAATGTTAGGTTAGAAGCAAAACAAAAAAAAAACAGGAAAATAAAAATGGAGAAGACAAATCAAATGGACAATGGACTACAAAGAAAAGTAGAACGAAAGTCTTAGTCGAGGTCTAAATGTGTTTCCAGGTATGAACTTTAGGTTATACTAAGCATCTATACAGTTAGAAAAAAGAGCTTAGACTCATGCTTGGGAGGTAGACCACGTTCAGTTAACTGTTACTATGTATCTATAACATTTAAAGGGTCTTTTATTTGCGACTTGAAAACTTTAAACTATCACCGTGAACGCACCTTTAATTCAATAGTCAAACTTTAAACGTCAAAATGGCCGTGCTTCATGAAGCATCGCTACATCCGAGTAAAAAGAAACAAGTTTGGTGCGGATTTCTTGCCGTTGGCGTCATTGGTCCGATTTCTTTAGTCGATAAAAATGACCGTCACGTTTCGATGAATGTTATTCACTACAGAGACATGTTGGAACGTTACATCGGGTGTAAGAATCGAGTTATTGAAGTCTCAGTTCGCTTAACCTGTAATCTCGAGAAACGGATCCATCGATTGGCCGCCGAGATCGTGTGATGTAACGCCTCTAGATTTTTCTATGAGGCTACATTAAACCATTGGTCTATGCCAAACAAGCCGGCGATGGTAGAAGGGCTCAGAGTCAATATTAAGAGAGAAACAGCAGCCGT